TATATCATTTAAGAAATTGTTTTTATAAACATTTTTTATTAAATAAAGCATTGTAAATGCCAAAATAATCACATTTAAAGAATTTTAATGCCAATTCAGCCCTTAATTTAAAAAAATAATTATTTAATGACTTTTAATGATTTTTAATGACCCAAGGAAACCCTGACTAAATATATGACAGATATATTCACAGAGAGCTGCAATACTTCCAGATCCAGCCAGGTCCTCATCAGTGGAAAACTACAGTTTTTCATGGACTCTAGTGTGGTAACATCTCACCAAGGTCTAGAGCTGGACCCAAACTGAGCCTCCAGGTCAAAGGTTGGGATGATCAGAGCATGAAGACAGTTTTCCCTGCTCCAAAATGTCCTGTTCAAACTTTACTGCTCAAATGGACTAACCACACTCCTCCCGAAAGCGAGATTTACTGGTCTGTTTAAACACGATAACCAGAGAAAGGTCTGGAGGAATCAGGGTGAAGGTTTCTGACATTAGAAAAGAGATAAAATCAGAACCAGGCGCAGATCAGGGCTCAAACACTCAACAAAATGTTTTCTGAATTTTCCCTCCATGGGACAATAAAGCCTCTTTATGATCTAATTCAGGGAAAATCCCAAATACATTCCTGCTCTCCCACTATTTCATTATTAGAAAATAACTGTGCATATGTTTAAATTCGTTAAGGCGGACAAGATACATCTTGTAATTGGAAACTAAAAAAAAGATATAGGCTGAGTTTGCATTTGATCCCAGGTTTAGTCTAAGCTGTAATAAAGGGCTGGATCTGAGTTTTTTTAACCTGGATCAGAGTAGAAGATGTCTGAAGGTCTTCAGCAGGACACATGTGATCTACAATGATCTAAAACAAATGCAAAACATTTATAATATTTGTTAAAACACGAGAATATGTCAAGAACTGATCCCAGAGCTGTGCTAAAAACAAACATTACCGGATTATTCCTAATAAAGGAGGAAGCCAAAATAAACTGAATCCTTTCTAGGAAATTAATCTATTCTATTCAAACGAAGAACACTAAAAACATTGATTTTAGGAACCACGTGACTGATTTCTATGTCTTTTTACGATTTAAAATAGTGGGCATGGTCTGTGACACTTTGTAAAAATGAACACATTCAGTGAAGGTAGTTATAAAACTATAACAAACCGACGGTGTCGGCCGTTGATTATTTGAATAAAGGTTTTTGAAAAACACATAAAGTGATCTGTTAAATCTTTACTCTATTTGTTTAATTCTGTTTAGCGAGAATGAAAAGTGACAGGCTGTTCCCTGACTCCACCTTCAAGCACCGCCTCCTCTAGATGTCCTGTCCAATCCAAACCCTACCTTCACAAACAGACATAAACAACAGCCAATCAACGTGCCGTAAAAGAGTGACGCAGGCGGAAGTAGAACCAGGCGCCCTGAAAGTCCTCGTTGGAGCAGAAAGAGGATGAATTGCTAAAACCTACCTGTGAGCTCGCCTCTTCTGTCATGGCGGTTCTCTGTTTGTCAGCCTGGTTAGCGGCGGTTAGCAGAGTGCTCTGTTCCTCTCTCTGACCATCAGAAAATACTCAATCCTCGTGAAACCTCTGAGCCGCTCTGCACCCCGTCTGAATGAGCATGGGAACCTCTGATGTCATCACACCAAGTGAAGATCATTTCCTTCTTCCGTCTAGCGCCCTCTAGGGGAAGACGTAAGAATGCAAAGATCCAAAGAGATATGGCAGAACGTTTGTCATAAATATCCAAACGTATCAATGATCCAGGACTTAAAAGTAGTCATTTAGACTTTAGATCATATCAAAAACTAAATATTTTCTAGTTAAACTACAGTTGATTACATTATTAATTATGTTTTTACAAGTAAAAATATATTTTTGATGTTATGAATTATGAACTAGATATCTGCAATATTTTAATAGGAAACAAAATTTCTGACCAGTTAGATTGGAAATTCATTTTTAGATACCCAAAATTTTTATCTTAGATCAGTGTTGTTTTCGAAAGCCATCTTAGATTTAGTCTTAGTTTTCATCTTTAGAATGAAAACTATCATTAGTTTTAAT